TGCTACATCCATTACAATTAGTAAGTAAAGGTCTTCCTGGTGGCGCCTCTGGCTAATGCACAGCACAGCAAGCCAGCCACAGCCACTCTGCCGCAAGTTCAATCCCCTGCAGACCTCTGCTGACCCGCCCGCTACTCCCCTCAGCAGTCGACTTCGTGGATCTGCCTGTTCTGCTCCCCACTCTGTCTGTGGTGAATCCTTTCATTGCCCCTGCACCTCTGGCCTGTACCCCAGGTCTGTGTGCATAAATATGTAAATCTTTAAGAAACAATAATATTAATTTATGAAGTTCATACTCATGAACTTTAGGTTTTCCAGTTTTTCCTGTGCCTGTGCAGGTAGCATATTGTATGTATTAGTCATGTCTCCTTAACCTCCTCTTGGTTGCTACAGTTTTTCAAACTTTTTTTATTTTGGCTGAACTTTATTAACTTTTGAGGCTTGTCAGTCAGGAATTTTGTAGCATGTCCTTCGATTGCAATTTGTCTGATGCTTTTGTTATGATTACACTAGGGTAAATCTTTTGAGGAGGAAAACCACAGATAAATGGTCTCTTATCACATCAGATCAAGGCTATGTGCTATCAATCTGTCTTGTAGGGGGACATGTTTTGAAGACCCCAAAGAATCTCAAAGATAAGAATATATACATTGCAGTGTGAATGTCTTAATAACAAGGATAAGTTTGGTCATGTAAATAGGCCTGTGCAATGGTCGGGGAGACCAGGAACAACCCCCCCCACGTGGATGGTGATGTGTGTAATAGTGTGGCCACTGGGAACAGGAGCCAGGACTGTAAGTAGACACACACAGCTGATTCAGTTGGAAGTCAACTTGAAGAAAAGTAAACTTGTAAAAGTTTGGTGCAAGGTTGATTTCAGGTTGAGTGTGGAGCGATGGGAATGACATGTAAAACTACAATGAACTGAACAATGGTTTGGAAGACAGTGCCACAACTCTGGCATTATATAAGGGATACGTGTGTGTGTGTGTGTGTGTGTGTGTGTGTGTGTGTAGCCTTCAAATGTCCTAACTATATACCTAAAGAGAAATGTACACATGTGCCCCAGGAAAACTGTGAGAATGCTCACAGCAGTCCTAGCCAGCAGAACCCCCGACTGGACACAAAGCAAACACTCACCAAGTGAACACAAAACATAGGTGCTATATTCATTCTTAAAATGGAATTCTATTGCACCGAAAAGGTATAACAGCTATATAGGTCACAATGAACAATATTAAGCCAAAAAGAAAGCCAGAAATAAAAGGAATGTCCTGTATGATTCAATTTCTGTAATATTCAAAACTCTACTCCTGTTTTTAGAGTTCCGGACAGTAATTTCATTTGGGAATGAGGCATAGGGCGATGTTGGCGATGTTCTCACTTTCGACCTGTCTGGACATTACACTTGTCTTTATTTAGGGACAATTTACTGAACAGTGAGAAAGACTGCAAATCAGACCAAAAATAACAGGGACTATAGGGATCATAAGAGACTCAGAGCAGACTTTATAGAGCACTAATTATGTAAATAGTAGTTGTTGTTAAGGCAGATATTTTTGACAGCTGATAGGCAGCTTGGTTAGGATAGAGGGTAACTTAGAGGCTATTAAAAGTGCAGACTGAAAAATACC